TGCCAGCCTCTCTTCTTTTAAGAAATATTGATGATTTTTAATGTTTCAGATAAAGGGACTGACTGTATTGTAACCAAATTTGCTGGTGATACAAAGATAGGGAAAAAAAACACTTCAAAGGGATAAAGAAAGGTTAACTGTGTGGACAAAGAATGAGATGGGGGAAAAAGAAGCTTTTACAGATGGAGGTTAATGTGGAAGTGTACAGGTTGGTAAGAAGAATAGAAATGTAGAATATCATCTAAATATGGAGAGACCGCAGAATGAGGAATAGAAAATAAAAAAAAATATTATTTCAATGCAGACAGACACTGCAGAATGCTATATTGTAGATCGTAGGTATTGAAATGATTAGGAAGACAAATGGAATGCTGCGATTGTTCCAATATGTTGGAATATAAATAAAAGGAAGTCTTATAACAATTGTGGAGATGTTGGTGAAACTAAACTGGGAGTACTGTACAATTTTGACCACCTTATTTAAGGACGGATACACTTGCATTGGTACAAGTCAGAAAATGTTGACTGGGCTGATTCCTGAGATGAAGAGCAGATTTATGAGCTAAGGTAGGGTTTTGAGGTAAACCCATTGAAGTTTAGAAGAATGAGAGATGAACATGTTGAAACATATAAGATCCTGTGGATCTTGGAATGTCATTTGCTCTTGTGAGTGAATATAGAACTAGGGGACATAGTTTTAAAATAAGAGGTCTATCATTATAAGGCCAACATAAGAAAGAATTTTTGATTCAGAAGGTTGTTTGTCTGTAGAATTCTCTTCCTCAAAGAGTGCTGAAGGCAGGGTCATTGAATATTTTTAAGGCTACATTAGGTAACTTCTTGACTGAAAAGTGAGATCAGCCGTTACCTTATCAAATCACAGAGGGGCTCAAATGACTTACCATTGGTTCTAATTTTTGTGCTTGAATGTTCATATTTTTATTTGCATCTGCACTGTGTACATATCCTCCAAGACCATCTGTTCAGAATCTTGCCACTTAATATGTATTCCCTTATTTTGTTTGCCTTTCCAAAACACATCATCACACTTCTCCATATTGAACTCCACTTGTCACAGTTCCACCAAACTAAGTATCTTCCTCAAATCTACACTTCTGTACTTCACAAAAAATCTGCCACCTCCTTAATCTTAGCCCCTACTTTCATGATCATTGATATACACCAGAAAAGGTACCTAGTACCCAAGCCCTGTGAAGCCCCACAAGAAACAGGCTTCACTCTTCACCTTCCTGCTTCCTGCCAATTCTGGATCCAATTAGCCAAATTTTCTTGGATCCTGTGGGCACCTACTTTTGCTATCATTCTTTCATGCAGGAACTTATCCAAAGCCTTTCTGAAGTCTAAGCAGACTATGTCAAATGTATAACAGTCAACTACACACCTGGCCAGCTCTTTGAAAAATTTAATCAAGTTTGTCAGACATAACCTCCCCTTGACAAAACCATGCTGACTGTTCTTGATTAATCCCTTCCTCTCCAATTGCCGATTAATTCTCTCCCTCAATTGCTTCCAATAGTTACCCCAACATTGAGGTTACACTGACAGTCTCTGGTTTCCTTACTTATCCCTTGCTCTCTTCTTGAACAGTGGTACCGCATTGGATCTACTTCGGTCTTCTGGCACCTATCTTGTGGCAAGAGAGGAATTGAAAATTATACTAAAGTAATAACAATCTAAATCCTCTTTTTGTCTAGGTGCCAGTTGCTGTTTCCCCTGCCTTCCACATAGTCTTAATACTTTCTCCCTTTTGTCTCCAAATATTCTTCCAACTATACTTGGTGTTGATCTGATCAGCGAATATATTAGTGTGTAGGATAGCTTTGATATGCCCTGTGCCAGCATCAAGCTCATACAGTGAGCAGATGGCTCAAGCTCTATTCATGAGATTGCAGACATGATTGATTTTGCAGTGTGCGGAGCTGTAGGAATCCCAACATATGATTGAAAGGAGTAGAAAATCCATTGGCGAATTTCTGAATGAACATTTTGAAGAAAGGGACCTTGTTGGATTGACCTATTTTAATGGAAAATCTGAGTGCAGTATGGTGTTTGGTAAATTATATCATGAAAACCTACAGGAATGCGAATGAATACAGCTCCTGTCCATCATTAAATGGTGGTGTTTCACATTCCTGTATGAACCATATGTTTCATCTTTCCTCATTATATACCTTTAACATATCCAAAAAATTTCATAACAATAAAAATCCTTTTGAAAATCATGGGAACATATGTGAATTGTGTTTACTAGGGGAACACATAAAAAGTAAATTGTTGCTGTTGATGAGATTGCTTCATGATGTATAGTCTGATTTATTAGCTGATAGGTTATATATTCTAACAGATTTCAAATTCCAGGGTTGCTTTACATACTGATGGCCAGGAAAAGTGTTCTGCCCAGAATGTAGATCAGGCTACATGATCAGATTTTATACATTTCCAGACACACTCTGATTTGGAGGGATTCTGAGCATACCAAGTGTGGAAAAAGTGTCAGAGTAAAAGCGTATTCAGTCACTTTGTAATAAAAAGTAATATATGGGTTACTTAGTAAGGTGAGACATCAATCCTCTAGTAAATTAATTACTGTGCAGGTATTTAATTGTTGTTAAAGTTGACACTGAGGTTGATTAATTAACATATTTTATTGACATGCAAGTGATATTTGATTAAAGTTAATACAATTTTAAAGTAAATGATAGAGTACAGATGTCTCATGGACTAGAAACAATTGTTGTAAGATTATAGAAATTAATTCAATTCAAACAAAGCTGGTGAGCAGAATTCAAGAATATATTTATTGTGGAATTAAACTCCCAAATGGATGCAAAAATAAGTTTAGGGTGAATTTTAAACAATATTGTTTTATTCAACAGTTTTAAGTTTTAGCAACAAGATAACATTGCCTGAAATCACATATTGTCTAATAATTGAACATAAGCAACATCATTTGTAATTCCCTGTTTAAGTACTTGATTTAAATGTCTGGAACCATAAAATTATAATTTATAAGTATAAGAATAATCTAGCAAAAATATTAATGTAATGCCTTATGATGTTTGAAACCTGATGTTAGTTGCTGATTTTAAGCCAAAAGGCCAAAGTTTTGATGCAGGTTATCAACAGGAATATTCCAGCTTCTGTGTTATTAGTTGGCATTTCTGAAGTTCTTTTAAGAAAATTATTTCTGGTTGATGTGTTTATACTTTAAACACAAATTGCTGTAAACTTCTGTTGTATAGTTCACTGGTTGCAGTTAATTTCTGTGTCCCTTCAGCCCTCCACTCTGGTGACATACAGCACTGTGATATGAGATGTTCCAGTTTGTACAATTACACAGGACATTGGAATAACTCCATTGAGACTGGTATCCTGTCACCAAGTCATCCTTTATTTACACATGTAGGGTTGCTTTGGCTCCTTTGAAAGTCCCTGGCCCTTCCTGAAAAACCTCCGAGTATTTAATTAGGACTTCACTCAGGCAGCCATTTACTAATCGAAAAATATTGGGCCAATCTATGTGAATCTTTGTCAACCAATTTCGCCCCTTCAGGCTTGAGCCTGAGACTTTTACTACAATTATTGGTAACTGAACCAGCTGCTTTTCAGAAGAGACTGGAACCAAAGTTGTTCCTTTAATATGTAAACATTCCCCAATAAAGGTTCTTAGCCTGGTCGAGGTCTTAGTCAAACTTAAGGGTTGGAGTGCAGAGGGAATTTTGTTAAAGACAGGTTCTGCAGTCACTGGGACAGCCATGCCAGTATCAACCTCCATTAAAACCAGGTGACCATTTAACCAGATGTCGATTTTGACTGGTTCTGATTTGGACGTTGCTAAGCGAGGCAACTATTCCAACTCAGATGTAGGTGGACTTTCCAGGGTGTGTACTCTCCTAGATACCGGCTTATGAGTTCTCTTACTTAAATTAGGCCAAGTGGGACTCTTTTGCTGTCTCAAGTCCGCATACTGACAGCAACTACAACGGCCTGCTGGTCCAGATCCTGAAGAAAATTTTAACCATTTGGCCGAGGCTTTGCTTTGTTTTGGGGTTTTGCTGTGAGCTGACCTTGAGTCCCTCTTATCAGGGTATGTCCTGAGTGAGGCTATGGAATTGCCTTCACTCAAGTGGTGTCCCAAGCTCGGGCAGACTAACGAGGATGTCCACTTCCATCAGGATACCCTTTAACTCATAAGCTCCACTTGCCGCATTTTCTAATGACAAAGCCAGTTGTAGTGCCTGTTTGAAGTCCAGTTGGGCTTCAGCTAATAGGTGCTTTTGCATGGTTACATCATTAATCCCATATACCAAATTGTCTCTCAGCATCTCATTACAGTTTAAATCAAAGTCACATGCCTCTGCCAGTCATCTTAACCTTGTCAAAAATCCCAACATGGATTCTCTAGTTCTCAAACTGCCGAGTAAAACCGATAGCTTCTCAGAATTAGAGGAGGATTGGAGTCATAATGTTCCTTAATTAAATCCATCAACTCTTGAAAAGCTTTAGTATCTGCTGCCTCAGGAAACATTAGGCTCCTAATAACCAAAAAAACTGCAGGTCCACAAGTTGTCAGAAGAATTATTTGTTGCTTTTCATCTGCCCCAATGTCATTAGTCTGAAAAATATAATGCATGCTTTCCACATACTGCGCCCAGTCTACGACGGCAGCATGGAACAAGTCAAGGTTCCCAAATAACAGCATAATGACAGAAATGCTTACCTGAACTCAAAGACGACTGTTGCAAGTGAATTTCTTCAGGAGCAATTTTTCTCTGGTCGTCACTGATATAACTCCAAATAGACTGGTATCGCATCACCAAGTCACCCTTTACTTACTGATCCTCCAACACTCCTGTTCTTATCTGTCAGTGAGGGCTTCCTGATTGGACCAGGTTAACAGCCCCAATCAGGCAACTCATATTTTATGAGGTCCACCTGGCTGATCTTATTACAATCACTACAGACATCACAGCACAAAAAACAATATTGTCTATAATTTATTGGATGGATCTACAGTACAGATATTCACAGCAATATCCTTCCCCCAACTGTTAACTCTTTAAGTCAAATAATTTGTAGTGATAGAACTTTCAATTTGTTATTTAAAGCACAATTTGTTAATCTTTTCATTCTGAAAAGTAACAGTTCCCAACTCCTCTGTGGTATCTGTCACCCAGTTTGTCCCTAAATACCCAAATAATTCCAAGCAGAGAATACTCATTATTTGAAAGTGTTAATTCCTTCAGAGCTTCCTTTACCCAAATGATAACTCCCTGCAGAATATCCAGTGCATGGGAGCACAGCACATTCATCACTTGTGCTACACATATCAGTAACACTCATCAAAACTGTCTTTGTCCTTTACATGGAGCATCAGAGTCATTCCCTAATTTTGATGTGGTACCTCCTATGCTGCACAATTTCCAGTCTAGATCTTTTTGTGATGATCTTTCCTCTCACTATTTGAAAACCTTAAAAAAATGTTTTCCAATTCAGTATTTGTGAATATCTTCTCTTGAAATACAATTGTAAATGTGATCAAACCTTCCTTTCCCTTGTGAACACAGCTCGCCATCCACATCAATTTCAATTTCTATGTCCCTTGCAATTATTGTCAGTCCCTCCAAATTCTGGGGAGGGGTGGGGCACAGATTAGTCTTGTGTTAGTCAGTTAGAAGAGGGACCTTTCTCAATGTAGATTGCGCTGTTTCAATAAACTCTGTATTGACTCTTGTTCCTCATCGGTGGTTAAGAACTATGTAACATTGCTATCTAGATGATGTTGCACTGTGTTTACATCAGAAACACTGCTTGCAGGATTTAATGTGTCTGTTTCTGATGGAGTCTCTTTTTCATTTGTGGCATTATTCCCTTGCTCCAGGTCATGTGGACCATTTGACTCTCTCTGTAAGGGTTGTGTTTGGAGCTCGGGCTCAGATATGCTCATCAGCTTCAGTTCCACATTATTCTCCATGACTTCCTGTTGAAGGAGAGTGGGCCTGGTCTCCAGAATGGGATGAGCTGAAATTAATGAAAATATTAAACATATCAATTGAATTATAATTGAGAAAAGTATAATTGTGGCCATCAACTGGTCAGTAACAGTAATATGGAACTATAACTTTTTAATGTCCTTTTCCAGGATTTATGTAGAACAGCTGCTGTGGATTTCCTGTTTAATCTGTCCACTGATTTTCGTCATTTATAGAAATGATTTGGATGTGAGTAAAGGAGGTATGGTTAGTAAGTTTGCAGATAACACTAAAATTAAGTGGTTTAGTGGACAGTGAAGGTTACGTCAGAGTACAATGGGACCTTGATCAGATGGGACAAGGGGCCGAGGAGTGGCAGATGGAGTTTAATTTAGATAAATGTGGTGAGGCAAACCAGGGTAAGACTTATACAGTAAATGGTAGGGCCATGGGGAATGTTGCAGCACAAAAATACCCTGGGGAGCAGGTGCATATTTCCTTGAAATGATGTTGCTAAACTTGACAGGGTGCAGAAAATATTTCCCAGGATGTTGCCAGGATTGGAGGATTTGATCTATACGGAGAGGCTGAGGCTTTTTTCCCTTGAGCGTTGGAGGCTGAAGGGTGACCTTACAGAGGTTTATAAAATCATGAGGGGAATCGATAGGGTGAATAGCCAAGGTCTTTTTCCTAGACTGAGGGAGTCCAAAACTAGAGGGCATAGATTTAAGGTGAGAGGGGAAGGATTTAAATAGGACCTAAGGGGCAATGATCTTATGCAGAGGCTGGTGTGTGTATGGAATGAGCTGCCAAAGGAAGTGGTGGAGGCTGGTACAATATAATTACAATAATTACAATATTTAAAAGGCATCTGGATGGGTATATGAAAAGGAAGGGTTTAGAGGGATATAGGCCAAATACTGGCAAATGGGACTGGATCAGATTGGGATGTTTGGTTGGTGCAGACGTGTCGGACCGAAGGGTCTGATTCCGCGCTGTATGACTCTATGATTCTATTGACAAGGACGTGGAACTTTGATTACAAACCATTCTGAACTACATGTTACCCCTGAGAGAGGGGAGTTGAGTCGGAAAGAAAGTGGATAAAACAAAATAAAGCAGCAAGACAGGGAGACTCAGTCTGTGTGTCGAGTATGTCGGAAGAAAAGTCAAAAGTGAAGTCACAGTGAAGCAAGATTGTTTGGTGAGGATTTTGCTCATTAGTTTCTCAAATTTGTGTCATTTATTAGTAATCATAAGGTTTCATTAGTATCGGCAGCATTCAGTTGCGGTAATAAAGCTCACAGGGAGTAGTAGACTTTATTAATTTCAAATGAATGAAAAAAAAAATTAATTAACGCACAAGAAAGATAGCAGTTCAGTTTTGGTCACTTTAATACAGGAAAGATGTTATTAAACTGGAAAGAGCGCAGAAGAAATTTACAAGGACACTGCCAGGACTCAAGGGACTGAGTTATAGGGAGAGGTTGGACAAGCTAGGACTTTTTTCTTTAGAGTGTAGGACCCTGAGCGGGGAGTCTTATAGAAGTGTATAAGATCATGAGAGGTATCGATAGTGTTGAATGTACTCAGTCTTTTTCCCAGGGGTGAGGAATCGAGGACTAGAGGGCATCAGTTTGAGGTAAGAGGGGAAAGAATACATGGGAACTTGAGGCACAACCTTTTTTACACAGAAGGTAGTACACATATGGAATGAGATGCCAGTGGAAGTGGTTGAGATGGGTATATTAACAACATTTAAAAGGAATTTGGACAAATACATGGATAGGAAAGGTTTAGAAGGATGTGGGTCAAGTGCAGGGAAATGGGGTTTGCGTGGATGGACATTTTTGGTTGGCATGGACCAGTTTGGGCTGTAGGACCCTCTCACTCTGTGACAGGCGATGTGACTGCAGAATTGCTCCTGTCAGTGTGATCCAGCACAAACATGTCTCAGTAAGTGTCTGTGCCATGAAGAGCTTCAGCTCAGAATTAGTGAGCTGGAGACTGAGCTGCTAACTCAGCGACACAACAGGGAGGGAGATGGACACTTCATTCCAGGAGGCAGTCACATCCTTTTGGATAGGTTCTTCAATTTTGTCAGTGGTCAGGGCTAGGAGTACGTGACTGCGAGTGAGATGGATAGAGGACCCTGAAGAGGAGCCTCAGCCTTCGTAACTGTCCAACAGGATCAGGGTTTTTACAAACTGTATGGATGGAAGCATGGGTTAGAGGGTCGATAAGCAAACTAACTAGGATGCCACTGAGGTGTGGAGAGTTAATGGGAATACATTTGTGGTAGGGAACAGTATTTTCAGTGAGATAGACACAGTTTTCTGCAGTGAAAGTGAGAGTCCAGAGCGTTATGTTGCCTGCAGATACTTAGTGTTCGGAACAACAGCACAGGGTTGAAGAGGAACGTGCAGTGGGAGGGGAATGATCACAGTCATGCTCCACATTGGCACCAACAGCACAGACAGGAGAGAGCTGTTTTTGAGGGACAATGAGCATTTTGTGGGAGCTGCATATTTGATGCACCCTCACCTAAACTGCTGTGTCCATGTTCTGGTGAGTGCTATAAGCGAGAGACCCTGCTGTTTAGTTTAAGGCTAAGGGAGAAAGTTTAGAAAGATGTGAAAAATTAAGGCTGTGTTTGCTGACACTGTACATCTGTATTAATTCAGAAACACGCTTACACACAATTCCAGACATGTTATATCATCATGTCAAAATTACATGTGATGTCATACACAAAGCCTGCAATGAACATGTGCAGAGAAGAAGTTTGTGCAACTTTGAAACAGGGATCAGCAAGGAGGGAGGACACAGGACCAGGACATGGTGGAAGTGAGGATGTGATGGAGGTGAATGAGGACATGTTGGGGAGTGGGAGGGAAACGAGGACATGGGGTGCTGGTTAATGAGCTAGTGGTGGGGAGGTTTACAAGGAAGTGTTGGGGGGCATTGGGGAAGAGGAAGGAGTGAGTAAGCAGGTTGCAGGAAGCCTCCAGCCCTCCTCCTTCCATTTCTCCTCCTTCCATCCCTCCATTCACCTTTCCCTTACCTCACTCCTTCCTCCTCTCTCCATTTCCTGAGAATTGCGCTACCTTCTGCCCCCTCTACTGAGCATACCCCAAGCTTCCTTGTAATGTTACCACCATCTCTCGGGTCCCGCTACCACTCCCACCAGGTCCTGTGACCACCCCCCCTCACTCCCTCACTCCCCCATCTACCAGCGTCCTCCCTCAGGAAGGTCCCAGCACCACCCCTGTCCCGAACCCTCTCCCCACTCCCCTCTCTTGGGTATTGGGCCTTGTTTTCCCCCTCCATCCCCTAAAACTGTTTACATAGACACATGTGAATTAAAAGTAGCACCTAGCCTGCATGCATTGGTGTCAGCAAAAACAATCTTACATTAAATGGAGAATATAAAGCAGAGACCAAGATACCAATAATGGAAATTGTGATCAGGAAGGGACAGAGCATACAAATTAGGTGTCCACTAGCAGATGAAACTAGAAGTTACAAGAATATTAAAATTAATATTAAATATAAAAGGCTCCCTATCTGAGTTGACAGCACAAGTAGACATGAGCTGACAGCTAATACAGAGACATGGTTGCAAGACGAAGAAGACTGGGACCTGAATATTCTAATGTGTAAAATGTACAACGGAGTATCTAACATTAGAAGTGATTCTGTAATTGGACAGCATTTGTTAGATAATGCTGATTGTGCATGGAAGTATGCTGACAACCAACTTAGGATTGTCAGTCAGACTCGCACACCTTCCTAGTTTGAAATTGAAATGAAGTCTGTCAGTTAACAGTCAATCATCATTAATTGCTGCATTCTCCAAGCAATGCCTCTACCAATCAGAGACACTTGCCAATAATCAGCACGGTTCTCTCATACATTATAAACATTTTCAGTAGTACTCAACTCTGTATTACCAAATGTCTTATTTGTATAGCTGAGATAGTCACAATTGCAATGTCAACACAGCTCAACTTACATGTAAGTTAAGACAAAGTAAGGTTTCTATTGAAATTCTTCAAAACATAAGGTTGTGCCAGGTTTCGTTTTCAAATGTATTGATAATGAGACAGAGTCCCATGATTGAATGGACATTTATGCAAGATAAGATTGAACTTTTGGTAATAGGCTTACCATTTCTAAAATGGTAAGAAGATGGGAAGCGTTGAACTTCATCGGGACTTTGAATGTCCTTTTTCATGACTAACTGAAAGTTAACATGCAGGTATAGCAAGCAATTAAAGCAAATGACACATTGTTCTTCAGTATAAGAGGATTTGAGTATAGGAGTAAAGATGCTTTACTGCAATTCTGTTGAGCCTTGGTGAGATATCACTGGACTATCGTGTGCATTTTAGGTCTCTGTCCCAATGGAAAAATATACTTGTTGTAGAAGGAAATCCAACAAAACTTTGCCAGATTAATACCTGAAATGGAATGATTGCTTCAGGGAGTAAAGTTAAAGAGACTGGGCCTTCATTCTCTTGATAAAAACCGAAAGAACTGCTGATGCTGTAAATCAGGAACAGAAACAAAGTTGCTGGAAAAACGAGCAGGTTCTGAGGAAGGATCACCAGACCCAAAACGTTAATTCTGATTTTTTCTTCACAGATGCTGCTAGACCTGCTGAGCTTTTCCAGCAACTTTGTTTTTGTTCCTTTATTCTCTTCAGTTTGGAAGAATGTGAGATGACCTCATTCAAACATAACACATTCTTCCAGGGCTCAACAGGTGGTAAATGGAGGACAGCTGGGAGTTAGAAATTAAGACTGTGGGACTCGGTCTCAGAATAAGGGGCAACTCATCGAAGGCTGAGATGGGAAGGAATTATTTCACTCAGAGCCTGGTGATTCATTGCAATTCACTATAATTCACTATCCAAGAAGCTTGGGGAATGCTCAGTTGTTGAGTATCTTAAGACTGAGATCAATAATTTTTGGCATATTAAAGAACACCAAGGGATATGGGGAGAGTGTAGGAAAATGGCGTGGACTATCGGCCAATGAATGATGGAGTGAGCCTGAAGGGCTGCCTCCCCTCATATTATGTCCATTTTTCATGTTCTTAATCATTGTACAGACTCAGTCTCTAGATGACCAATGCTCACTTTCCTTAATTTTTTCCTTTTTAAATATCTGTAAATGCCCTTACTATTTCTTTATTTCTAACTAGCATACTCTATTTTCCATCCTTATTAAGATGTTAGTTATTCTTTGCACTACTTTGAAATCTATCCAATCTTTTGACTCACATTTCTGAATCTGGGCACATTTTGTTTCAATTTTAGACTATACTTAACATCCTTTAGTTGGCTACAATGGCAGATTCCTCCTTTAGAATCTGACCTTCAAGTGAGGAAAATATCTTAGTCTTCTGAAATATCTCCATAAATGGTTGACACTGCATCTTCATTGACCTATCCCTGAACCTAATTTCTCTGTCTTAATGCCCCCAGTTCTGTCCTTATTTTAGTTTAAAACACTAGTCTTAGATCCACACTTCTCTCAAATTGATTGGGATATATGATTATATTAGGATAACTGCTCCCTCAAAGCAACTCTATTCTGTGATTATTAATTAATCCTGTCTCATTGCACATTAGCAGATTTAACCAAACTGCTCCCTGGTATTCTCCATGAAACACACCTCCATGAAACTGTCCCAAAAAACGTTTTATGAACTCCTCATTCATGCAATTTACCAATCTTAGTTACCTAATATATTTATAGAACAACACCATCTACGTTTACTGCTGTACCTTTCTCACAAGTCCAAAATATTTCTTCCTGTGTACCTCATCCTACAACATGGTTGGTCTTGGGGAAAATCTAAACAAAACCTGGCTCTAAGCTGTCACTCATTTACTGCTAAATTCTCCATTGCAGCAAGTCCATCAGAGTTTACTTGTCAACCAATGAGCACTCTTCTCTCATAAATGTTGTTTTATTCAGATGAATTGGCCTGATGAGTGCAAATGAAAATCTTCTCAAAATGTGTCATTTTCTTCAGCAATACTGAAGTTCTGAACTACCAAATGGCTACTTTTAAACCTAAGACAGAGATCATAACAAAGACCACACATTGGGATATCAAAAACATAGTTCAACTTACAGGTAACTTATAAACAGATAAGTTTTAAATGTTTTTCTCAGGCTGTATTAAACCCAAGTGTGTGCCAGTTTTCATTTCCAAATGTATTGCTAATGTGAAGGTGAGACCCAGTCCCAAGGCTGATGAATCTTTATGATAGATCAGATGCAAGAAACGCACTGTATTTCTGATCTTCCACCAATGTGGATAACCTTACATTTCTCCACGTTGCCTTCCACATGTGAATGTTTTTGTCCACTTACTTAGCCTTTGCAAATCACCTTGAAGCATCTTGCACCCTTCTTATTGTGCCATTTGCAAAATTGGAAATATTAAATTTAGTCTCACATCCTAATAATAATATATATAGATTGTGCATAGCTAGGTCCCCAGCACAGATTCCTGCAGTCTCCCACTAATCACAGCCTACTAACATGAATATGACCCTATTTACCCCTATTATTATGTATTTTCTGTCTGTAAACCAGTTCTCAACCCTTTCCAATATATTCCCCCAAATTCCATTAATAAAGCCAAATACTGAAAAGGTGGATGAATTGAGCAGATACTTTGTTTCTGTCTTTAGTGTAGGGGATATATAAAATCACCAAAATAATTGTGATTCAGGAGGTGAAAGGAGGAACTTAAAACAACAATGCTGAGCAAGCTATCAGAACAGACACCGACAAGCTCCCAGGTCATACAGTCAGAGATGTACAGCACAGAAACAGACCCTTCTGTCCAACTCGCCCATGCCAACCAGATATCCTAAATTAATCTGTCCCATTTGCTAGCATTGGCCCATATCCCTCTAAACCCTTCCTATTCATATACCCATCAGATGCCTTTTAAATGTTGTAATTGTACCAGCCTCCATGACTTCGTCTGCCAGATCATTCCATACATGCACCACTCTCTGCTTGAAAAAGTTGCCCCTTAGGTCCCTTTTAAATTTTTCTCTTCTCACCTTAAACCCATGCACTCTAGTTTTGAACTCCCCTAACCTCCTCATCCTAGGCTCTTAAAAGAAGTCGTGAGATAAAATTGCATTAGTTTTAATTTCCCAAATTTCCTGAATTCTGTAAAGGTCTCATCAGATTGGAAAATAGTCAATATGACTCCTCCCTTCAAGAAGTGAGGGAGACAGAAGGTAGGAAACTACAGGTCAGTAAGCCTGAATCTGTCATAGGAAAAGTGCATTTTGAAAATCTCAGTGCAATCAGGTTGAGTAAATGTGCTTTTGTGAAAAGGCTAATAAAGTTCTTTGAATTCTTTAAGAAAGTAACAAGCAACTGGTTGAAGGGAAAGTTGTGGATGTTGTGTCCTCAGGTTCCCAGAAGGCATTTCACAAGGCACCACATCACAGGTTACTATGCTCATGGTGTAGATGGTAACATGTTGATTAGCATAGACAGAGGATTGATTACCTAATAGGAAAATTAGATTATGCAAAAATCTGTCATTTTCAGATTAGCAATATGTAACGAACACAGTGCCACAGTGATTAGTGCTGGGGCCTCAATTATTTACAATATATATCAATGATTTTGTTTAAGGAACTAAATATACAGTTACTAAATTTACCGATAATTCAAAGAAAGGCAGGAAAATTATCAGTAAACAGACAGATACAAATAGTAATGGGCAAACAAATGACAGCTGGTTTATAATATGGGAAAATATGACCTGTCCACTTTGTTAGGAAGAATAGGAAGCAGCATTTTATTTAAACGGAGAGAGATGGTGGAACTCTGAAGTGCTGAGAGTTCTGTTACATGACTCACAGAAAGTTAGCGTGCAAGTGCAGCAAGTGATTAGGAAACCTAATTAAATGTTGCAGTTTATCCCAAGAATTGAAACATAAATGAATGTTGTGCTACAGTCTGTAAGGCATTGGTTTTACAGCATCTGCAGTACCATGCACAGGTATGAAGCCCTCATGTAAGAAAAGATGTAGATGTGTTCAAAGAAGTTCCGAGAAAGGGTTGGACAGGTTGAGCCTATATTCATTATAGTTAAAAGGAGAGATGTTCTTATTGGAACACACAAGGTCCTGAGGGGTTTGATAATGTGGACGCTGAAAGAATGTTTCCTCTTGCGGGAGAGACTAGAATCATTGGACACAGTTTAAAAATGAGGGATCTTCCATTTCAATGGACTGAATTTTTTCCTCTTAGAGGGTTGTGAATCTTTAGAACTCTCTTCCCCAGAAAGCAATGAATGCAGGGTCATTGAAAACGTTTAAGGTTGAGTTGATCTATTTTTGACCAACAGGGGAGTCAAAAGGTTATTGGGGGTAGGATTGGAATTGAGGACACAGTCAGATTATCCCTGTGGGCATAGTGACCTACCCCTGTTCCTGTGTCTTTTGTTTATAAAATGCAGGTAAGAATAATGCGCTATTCAGATTTACTAAAGGCCTTCAATAATTTATCACATGGAAGTCTCATGACTAAGGCCAGTACACATGAAGTGAAAGGACAAGTAGCAGAGTTATTGCATACAATTCTGGCTGCCAAATGATGTGGACGATGTGGGTACATAAATGGTTTACCGGGACGTTGCCTGGTTTAGAGGGTTTGAATTGTGGTGAGGGATTGGACAAATTTGGTTTGTTTTCACTTGAATGGAGACTGAGGTGGTGGTGGTGGTGGGGGGGGGGGGGGGGGGCGGGGTAGGGGACGGCGGTGGTGGGTGGTGGTGACTTGATAGATGTTTATTAAATTATGAGAGGCATGGATAGAATGAATACTCAGAGTCTTTTTCCCACCGAAGAAATGTCAAATACTAGGGAACGTAAGTTTAAAGTAAAAGGGGGAAAGTTTTTTAGGAGACATGAGAGGCAAGGATTATTTTTAAACAGAAGCTGGTAAATATCTGGAATGCGCTGCCAGAGGCAGTGGTAGAAGCAGATACAATAGCAATTAAAAGGCATCTTGACAGATATATGAATAGGTAAGGAATAGAGGTGTGCAGATCACACAAAGGTAAAAGGTTTTCACTTGACAAAAGAGACGTGTCAGCGCAGGCTTTGTGGGCCAAGGCTCTAGAAGGTAAAGAAACCAAAACTGCACACAATACTCCAGGACCGAGGCTCTCCAAATACAGTAAAACTTCTTTACTCCTATGGTCAAATCCTCTTGCAATAAAGGCCAACATACCATTCACCTTTGGTTAGATCACACATTCTACATCACCATATTAAACATGGTCAATTCACACACTATCCCCTCACTTCTACATTGCCCTCTCTCTCATTCTCCCTTCTGATTTTCCTGTACTCCCAGTACTGGAGATTCCCTCACACTTACTGTTTCCCTAAGTTCTACATTCCCCTCTGTCTGATTCTTACCTCTCCATGGCCTTTTCCAGATGATTATCCCAAACGTAACAGCCAGGCCAGTGACTAATCCAATTATTATTGAAAACTGGGACCACGCTCTGTTTTTTTCTGGGATTTCTGAAACACATTTGAGTAATATCAGTATTATTTATGTTCCTGTATCCATACCCAGTGCACTGGGGACAATTTTAACTGATCCCACCCATTGGGAATTGATGGGATTGGTTGATACACTGGTTTGACCCTCACCAGATTTCACTGTCAGTGAAGTCACTGAAGATCCCATTGATGGGGTGTAAACACTGCATTGTCCCAATCCCAGGGGTTACCTTCCTGAACAGTTTAGTTCCCATTCTCCCCGATGTCTCTGTGTCATGTCCTTGTTCAATCTCCAGGGTTACATTGGACAGTCCAGAAGGCAGCATTACTGATAAGTTTTTTCATCAAACTTGAAAGGGATGATGAATAAACTGAGCACAGGAAACTGGGCTGAGCTGAAACTGAGGAAAACAGCAGAGAGGCTGAGCAAAACTTCAAAAGAAGCACTTGGTCCAATCCAACCCCAGGACTTAGTCCCAATCTACTGCAGTGAACCTACCATGGTCAAGACATGAAATAAGTGAGAGAATCCACCTCAGAGAAAAGGGTCCCACAAATATCCAGAGACTGAAGGACAGAGACTGAGACACGGATCAGCTGATCAAACAGAGTGTGGATGGATTTGTGTAATTGAAAACTCAAGCATTAAGCTGACAGTGAAATTTCCCTGGAATTGAGTATCTGCAGAAAGAATAGTCTCAGGAAACACACTTAAACTTTTTCTGTTCATGTTAACATCTTTCTAGTCTTCGACAAGTAGTGTTGTTGTGCCTTCTTTTCGGTAATAAACCTGTGCTCTGTGTTTGAAGACCATCTGCAGGCTCTTGTGAATATTCAGAAATTTCAGTGTCTATCCAGCACCATAAGTAACAAAAATGTTAAGCAAATGATCCATCAAGCCAGACTTTTTAAATAGCCTTAAGGCTGGGACAAGGACGTTTTTTTGGTCTCTCAAGGAATCAGGGCATCTGGATAGCAGAGAGGCAAGAAGAATTGATGATAATGGCAGCAATAGTTATGAGTATGCTCAGTGGTGTACTTTAAATTTTTAAGGTGTTAAATTAAGTTATGGTGAAAATCATCCATAACCTCATTGAATGGTGGAACAGAGTCAAAAGGAAACACAGGCACAAGCATGCATGCATGTACACACACAAGCGCAAGCACACATTGTATCAGTACCTTACCCCACTGATAGAACTTGGCCTCTGACAGGCTGCTGTGTTCAATTTGACAGGAATATTGATCCTCATCCCCAGGATTGATTTCAATCTCTTTCTGGATCTGATGGGTCCCATCGTGGTTTGGTCGAATCCCCGAGGATTGTGTCTCAGACATGACCTCTCCATTCCTTAGCCAGGTCACCTCGATGTCTACAGGATAAAATCCGGTGACCAGGCAGGAGAGAGTGAGTGGCTTGTCCTGACGATTGGGCTCACTCCTGGAGATGAACACTTCAGGCTGAACTGTGATGGGAAAGGGTGAAAACACAAACAATAGACAGATATTGAATGGAATGGGAGAACGGTTTCATGGATCAGTGACATTAGATCAGAACATGGGGCCAAAACTAAAACACATACCTCTCCTTCCGAAATATTGTCTTCCAAAGTGTAAGCGTGATTTTAAACGCTCAACAAGTTCCTCTTCCAAGTGCCATTTCCAGTGCTTGTTCCATGCTTTATCAGAATCCCATTCCTCCTTGATCTTCACTGCAAAGTGATTAGATGCAACCCATCTCATTCTGTCTGATTCTAAACTAATAAAGTCCTTTCCATCAAATCCAACATTCATCGATCTCTTAATGGAGCCATCAGCAGTGATCTCAACAGTCCTTATGAATTGCAAAATATGCACTCCTGCCAAAGATTAAAAGAGAAACAAAAATTAATTGTTTACATAAAAGTCCCTTTAATATATAATTGGAACTCTATGCAATAAGTTTTAAAATCAGAGATCCTCCTGCTGGCTGAGTGTTATCCTGATAGATTGTTTTGAGGGTTCTGCTACAGTAACAAGACCTTTTAGTGGAATCAGTTTTACATGAATAGATCCATCGCCACGTGAACTGATAATAAGACATTTGTAACTCATTTGACTTTGAGCCTGCTCTGCTACTCATTGCTGACTTAATTATGGCCTTAATTTCACTTTTTTTCTTTTGCCACAAACAACCCATCACTCTTTTGTAGATCAAAAATCTGTCTAACTCAGCCCAGCCTACATTCAATTACCCAGTGCATTGGAGATGACAATCAATGTATCCACCATCTCTGTACCTGTTTATTTTAAGACTGTAAGGATGTAACCTTTGGGCTTATTAGTTTATCTCTTTTTTTCCTGTGGTGACTATGATTAGTTTAAGTTCATTTTTGTCTCAGGATTTTTTTATTTTTGAGATTTTGTGTCTTCTATTTCGAAGATTACAACATTCGTTCAAAACCACTCCCATTTCTTTATTTCCCATTATTAATTCTCCAGTTTTATCTTCTACATTTTTTCTGACTCTCTTCATACAGAATCCTGAGGTAGACCTGGGTATTGCACATTCACATGCCAGTGCACTAAGTGCTGTGCTCTTTGATGATACAAGTGATGGGCAGCATATGGATGAGTAATGGAAAGGGACCAAGAATAGATTCATGGCAAACACCAGAAGTAACACTGAGGGAACAGGAAGAAAAGCCATAAATGCTGATTCTAAGGTTACTTTGGATAGATAGGAAAGGACCCAGGTAAGTTATCTTCCAACCAGCTGGATGGCATAGAAGCTTGAGGGGAACGCTATGGCCAATCACTTTTAATCGCCACTTAAAATCCTTCAAGCTAGCACTTAGACCTTTCAAGTGGTTTGGTTATCCCACAGCTTCTCAGATTTTCATTAAACGAGTGGCCTTGCACAGATGCAGACAAGATTGGATATTTTAAAATCTACCTTGATAAACACCTTCTGGCCCGTGGACTTTGCCCTCTTTCCCTGGTAAAAAAAAAATGCTTTTGTAGTTGAGTCAGCAATAGCCCATTCTTTCCCTGGCACTTAGTCTGTCTACTGACAGCTCCATCTTGAACAGAATTTTAAGGCAAGTTGTAGGTAACTTTATCCACACCTTACAGAAAAGTAATGAGGAAAGAGCTGATGGAGGAATGAGAAAGATTTGCTCAAGGGAATGACCACTCCAGAAAGCAGGAAAGCTGGGAAATTTGTAACCGTCAGTTTATGTAATAAACATCTGTGGACATTTAGAAGAATACATTATTAAACCCTTGTAATGATAGCTCACAAGAAAGACAAGCGAGATCTTTCATTTAGATACAGTTACAACATTTAAGAAACATTTGGATAGGTACATGAATAGGAAAAGTTCAGAAAGTTATGGGCCAAGCACAGGCAAACAGGACTAATTTAGTTTGGGGAACCTGGTCGGCATGGTTGAAGCGTCTGTTTCCGTGCTGTATGACTCTAGGCTGCAGACACGTTGAGAAAAGGTGAAAAGGGAAAATTTTTTTTACGTGGTCAAGGAAGTCAAGGGATAAGAGCTGTTCTGGGGTGAAAACTTGATTGGTGGGATGTAAATATGAAGTTCTAGTAAAATGTATTCGGGAGATGATCACATATTTAAAGCCTCTTCTTTTACAGGAAAATTATGCTAATGGTAGATTTGAAGGAGAGAGGTACAGAAGCTGAGGACTGAGAAATGACAACAATGACAACCAAGACAAAGACAACGAGTCAGTCAATAACTGTACTGCACCAGCAAAAGCTTGTTCTGATGAAAGGTCACTGAATAAAAAGGTTTGAACGTTTTTTTCTTTCCATGGCTGTTGCCTGACCTGCTGAACATTTCCCATGGTTTCTGTTCTTATAGTAGTAGAAACTTTTATAGACACATAGTCAGAAAATGTGCCTGAAATAGCCAAGAATTTAACCAACAGCCTGAAATGAGAAACCATTAAGTTGCACAAAGTAGTAAAATAAACACATTATTCACACCAGGAGCTGCATGAGGAGTCAATTGCCCAGGGTAGATCCATATGAGGAGGAGGTTTGACAACTAGTACAGGACCTTGATTGAAATATTTGAATCTTTGTTTTACATATTTCTGACTGCAGCTTCACTGCTGTGCAGAAGCCAATTTCATAAGATAGCATGCATCCAGCAAAAATTTTCCTGCCTATTGTATGACCAGATACCCATTCCACAGCTGCCTAATTCACTTGTGGTCAGAGTGACCCAAACAGTGTATGTCTCAGAATCATATATTGCAGTCTAACTGTGGTTGTATTCTGATCTGCTTTAAACAGGGCAGTTTGTGACAGAATCTGTATCAATGATCTTACCAGATGTTTGGTTTGTACTTTTCATTACCGTCCTCAGATTCTCCCTTGCCTTGTCAGAATGTTCGTTCCCTTGCTTTGTGAGAATTTTCCAGTAATTAGCATCATACGAGTCTGTCATCCACTGCTGTAAGGAGACTGTCTGACAGGTATTACTGTCATAATAGGTCACAGGAACTCCATTGATCATTGTTACACCAAAATACTCAGGTAGGTCAGTTGTGCCAGAGACAGCTATAAAAGCCGCAGTAAAGATTTTGTTCTCTGTAGACTTAAACAAAAGTGAAAGGGTCAGGTTTGTATACTTGATCAAGCAGCGCCTATACCCAAAAACCCCATATCAGTGACAGGAGTCATTAAAACAGTCAAATCCACTGTCTTAATAAGCAGCTGCAACCAGTAATGCAGTCAATTAGATTTTCTAATAATAACACTCAGATTGCCACTCCACTCTTTTTTTAACATAAAGAAAGAGCTTCTGGCCGGAGGTTCTGATTCGGCTCCTTCCGAAATGTGGAGCCATACTTGCATCATGACAAGTCAGTACGGTGGCTTCAGTGGATACCTCACAGCACTAGGAAGCTGGGTTTGATCCCACCCTTGGGTGACTGTCTAGTGGAGTTTGTACATTCTCTCCACGTCTGTGCGGGTTTCCTCTGGGTGCTCTGGTGTCCTCCCACAGTCCAAAGATGTGCAGGTGAGGTGGATTGGCCATGCTAAATTGCCCGTAGTGTCCAGGGATGTGCAGGTTAGGTAGGTTAGCCATAGGATATGCAGGGTTAGGGTCTGGGTGGGATTCTCTTCAGAGCGTCAGTGTGGATGTGATAGGCTGAATGGCCTGCTTCCATACTGTAGGGATTCTATAATATTTAAAAAAAAGTCCTTGGTAGTGCAGAACAGTCTTCATATAGTAGAAGCAGCCAAGAAGGCATCAATGCAAATGGAACATTGAATTCTATTTTTATCTGGAGACAGCCAGGAAAAACATGGAGAGGGAAAAAATGATTAGCAATCCACTATCCCTGTTCCAATCAGAAACTGAGAATCAACTACTGTTTATATTCTGGAAAAAAAGTACACTAGATTATCAAGGCTCCATTTTACTGCGAACATGAAAGTTGATCATTTCTTGAATTCAAATTGCAGAACCAGAGGTTCAATGATTGGCTAGTCTCAGAAAAAGATCAACTAAACTAAGCAATGACAGTCTGAATCGTCTGTCACCGGTAACCAGGACATTGAAACTCACACAGGGTAATGCTTTAGGAACCAAGGACAGCATTTAATTATTATAATTATTAGTGTGATGGCCCCCCTACCCCCTCACTGTCAGCCAATCACATGGTGGGAAATGGGGAAGATGGGCATGTCACAAGAGATTGAGAACGGAGGCAATCTTTCTCTCTTGCCTTTTGGAGCCTTTAGCAATTCTGTGCTGCAAATTACTAAACTATTAATCCAAAGACTTAGATAATGTCCTGGGGCTCCATGTATAAATCCTATTATGGTAGATGGTGGAATTTTAATTCAATACAATCTGAAATTTAAAAAGTCTGATTCTGACCAAGAAACCATTACTGATGGTCAGAAAAACCCATCTGGTTCACTAATTTCCTTTAGGGAAGGAAACTACCATCCTTACCTGGGCTGGCCTATATGTGACTCCAGACCCACAGCAATATGGCTGACACATAACAGCCCTCTGAGCAATTAGGGGTGGGCAATAAATGCTGGCCTATCCAGCAATGCTCACATCCCATGAATGAATACTTTTTTTGAAAGTAAAGTCTCATTTGTGTTTTCTCCTGCCAGGTATACACAAGTGAAGGGGTTACAAAACCAACTGCAACGTGTGTGTATGTGGTAGTCTGCTCTTTAATGAAACTGGGCAACAGTGTACTGGGGAGGTGATAGCCGAAGAAAACTACTTGGCTATGTGGCTACAACTATAACTACCATGGTGACATTACTTACAAGTTACTCATTAAATTCCTTTCGATACACAAAGCCCATATGTCACTAGTTAAAAATTCAAAAACCCAAAAAATAAAAAAATTGTACATTTCTATACAATAATCACAGTTCACATCACACCCACAAAGTCAAAGATATTCCTGTTGATCTGCATATTGAAAATGTTTTCAACTTATTCTAGAACATCAATGATGAACTGGTACACTTTGGCCAGAGCCAGAATGCAAAGTAGCAATTGGCAAGTGCCAAAAAGGGACCAACTACACGTTGCAAAAGGTCATTATTTGGGAATGGCCTGACAATATGTGGATAGTCATTCATTTTGGCCACACAGGGACTAGCTTTGTGTATCATGACTAATCAAAAAGCATTACACCATGATATCATGTGCACGCTACCTCGGGCACACATGGGGTACAAAAGTGTCCCTGCCTCTGAACCAACAGACTTGGGTTCAATCCCATCTGCTCCAGAGATGTGTCATAACATTTCTGAACAGGTTGATTAAAGAATATCAAATACATAATTTCCTCTAATTTTCTTACCACCTGCACGGGCCTCCAAGGCCCATGCGTGGTAGTGATTTCTGGAACCAGAGATCAATGCCACGATTAGTGTGCCAACACTGACCTTGGAACATCAGTGCAGCTGTGTGTGGCACAGTTATGCAGCTCACTGACTGAATGCCCAAGAACTGCTGCACTGCCCAGCAATGGAATCAGGGAAGTCAGTGCATCATGAATGCACACAAGGTACACCAAAAAGACCTCAATAGCAGAAGGAGCCTCTAAATCTACACAATGATCCATCCCATCCTCAGACAATAGCAGAGGACCTATTATAAAGTCATACAGTGCAGAAATAGACCCTTTGGTCCAACCAGTCCATTGGCAACCATAATCCCAAACTAAACTAGTCCCACCTGCCTGCGCTTGGCCCATTTCCCTCCAAACCTTTCCTATTCATGTACTTATCTAAATACCTTTAAACATTGTAACTGTACTCGCATCCACCACTTCCCTTGGAAGTTCATTCCATACACGAACTACTCTCTGTGTAAAAATGTTGCCCCTCATGTCTTTTACAAATCTTTCTCCCCTCACCTTAAAAATGGCCCCAGTCTTGAAATACTCGAAGCTAGGGAAAAGACACCAACCATTAACCTTATCTGTACCCCTTATGATTTCATGAACCTCAAAAAGGTCACCTCTCACCTTCCTATGCTCCAGTGAAAAAGTCCCAGCCTGTCCAGTGTATCCTTATAACTCAAACCTTCCATTCCCAGCAACATCATGGTAAATCTTTTCTGAACTGTCTCCAATTTAATAATAACCTTCCTATAGCATGGTGACCAGAATTTGACACAGTATTCCAGAAGAGGCCTCACCAACGTATTGTACAGCCTCAACATGACACCCCACCTCCATATTCAAAGGTCTGAGCAATGAAGGCAAGCATGCTAAACACCTTCTTAACCACTCTGTCTACATGTGATGCAAACTTCAAACAATTATATCCCTGAACTACTGGGTCTGTCTGTTCAACAACACCACTCAAGGCCCTGCTATTAATTGTTTCAGTCCTGCCCTTGTTTATTTTACCAAAATGCAACACCTCATATTTATCCAAATTGAATTCCATCTGCCAACTCTTCAGCCCATGGACCCAATTGATCAAGACCTCTTTCTAATCTTAGATAGCCTTCTTCGCTGTCCACTATGCTACCAATTTTGGTGTCTTCCACAAACTTACTAACCATGCTTTCTAATTTCTCTTGTAAATCATTTACATAAGTGACAAACAAAAGTGGATCCTGTGGAACACTGCTGGTCACAGACCTCCAGTCTGAAAAACAACCCTTCACCACCAATCTTGTCTCCTGCCGTTAAGCCAGTTTTGCATCCAATTCATTGCGCACAAGGAAGATTACAGCCTTACGATGGATTACTTTCTAAATTTCCCATTGTTTGATAACTGAGCAACTCAACAAGCTCAATCATTTCTGACATGATGCACGTTATTTCCAATTTTGGAGTACTTGGCCAGTACACAAAATGTCCATGGGCTATGTGCAAGTGGACAATGTGACGTCATTATTGGCTACCTGATATCTCCAATCCAAACTGCATCTTGTTTGTGTTTTAAATTCACTTGTGGGATGTGGGCATCGCTGGCTAGGCCTGCATTTTATTGCCCATCCCTAGTTGCCCTTGAGAAGGAGGTGGTGATCTGCCTTTTGTACTGCTACAGTCCATGTGCTGTAGGTAGACCCAGAATCCTGTTAGGAAGAGAGTTCCGGGATTTTAGCCTAATGATATATTTCCAAGTCAGGATGGTGATTAGATGGGGATCTTGTAGGTGGTGGTGTTCCTATGTATCTGTTTCCCTTGTCCTTCGAAATGGAAGTGGTCGTGGGTTTGGAAGGTGATGCCTAAGGATCATTGGTAAATTTATGCAATGTATCTTGAAGTTGGTACACACTGCTACTACTGAGTATCAGTGGTGGATGAAATGTATATGGTGCTAATTAAGGGGGCTGTTTTGTCCTGGATAGTGTCAAGTTTCTTGAGTGTTGTTGGAGCTGCACCCATCCAGGTAAGTGGGGAGTATTCCATGACTCTCCTAACTTGTGCCTTGCAGATGAAGCTTTGGGGAGTCAGGGGGCAAGTTACTTGTCACGGTATTCCTAGCCTCTGACCTGCTGTTGTAGTCACCTGTATCCACCTGTATTTATATAGAGAGTCCACTTCAGTTTCTGGTCAATGGTAACTCCCAAGATGTTGATAGAGGGGCATTTAGTGATGGTAACACCAATGAATGTCTGATTAGAATAAATGATTAGATTGTCTGTTATTGGAGTTGGTCATTGCCTGGCATTTGTGTGGTGCAAATGTTACTTGCCATTTGTCAGCCCAAGCCTTGATATTGACCAGATCTTGTTGCATTTGAACATGGACTGCTTCAGCATCTCTGCAGTCACAAATGGATTGAACATTGGGTATGTTCACTAATGATGCACTCTTCTGACTTTATGATGGAGGGAAGTTAATTAATGAAACAGCTGAAGACGGTCGGGCCCAGGACACTATCCTGGGGACCTCCTGCAGAGATGTCCTGGACCTGAGATGACTGACCTCCAACAACTACAACCAGCTACCTACGTGCCAGGTGTGACTCCAACCAGCGGCGAATTTGCTCCCCTGATACGCATTGATTGCAGTCATCTGCTCCTTTGCCTTTAGACACCTTTTCATTTCCCTTCACCCTTCTCATTTTCTCTTTATCTCTCTCTCCACCTCCACACCACCCTCCCCCTACTTCCAAAACCATTAACTTTTTGACCCATGATTCTGTAACCCCCACCCTGTGTCCATTTCCCCGCAGCACTCTGACTATACCCTTTACTCCAAAGTGGCTGGTGTAAAGGGTAAAAGACTGCTGCTTCCTTCAGGAGGATGAATTGGTAGTGAGTTTAACCTGAAGGTCACCACGACTCAGGCAAAGGGTGAGATTGAGAAGGTAGATCTGTAATGGTAACCACAGCTGATGCACGAATGAACCCAAACCATCCAGCCATTGAGCTAACCAACACCCCACCCCACCCCGCCCAGTTCAGCGTAACCCTCTATTTAATACCTACCATTTTTGTTCCTCTACTTAACACCCACCATTGACACATTAACCTTGCTTTTCAGTCAGACACATCGCAATTCCGGCATGTGAAACCTCTCCTAGCAACACGCCTATTTACATGTAATCCTTCCACCCTCCTCCTCCCCCACCTGTGATCCTTCTCCCCCCACCCCGCAGTGATCCTTTTACCCTTGTCCAGACTAGCCTCTGCCCCTCGGTCATCCTCCAGGGCCCCGTACAACTCAGATTAAATTAGTTTTGCCTGTGCTTCTTTCATCTGGACACCAGGATATTGTATCCATGGGAACAGGATGGAGAAGGACACACACGCACATATAAAAAAAGGGGAAAGAAAATTGAGATAACAAGGTATAGAGCTGGATGAACACAGCAGGCCAAGCAGCATCAGAGGAGCAGGAAGGCTGATGTTTCGGGCCTAGACCCTTCTTCAGAAATGGCCACTGAGGTTTTTCCAGAGGGAAGAGAGTAACTTCTTCAGGGTAGGCATTCTTAGAAGAGGCTTCGCAGTGGGGTTAAAATTGTTTCAGAGATAGTAGGAACTCCAGATGCTGGAGAATCTGAGATAACAAGGTGTAGAGCTGGATGAACACAGCAGGCCAAGCAGCATCAAAGGAGCAGGAAGGCTGACGTTTCGGGCCTAGACCCTTCTTCAGAAATGGGAAAGAAAATTGACAGACACACATCTAAATAACTCGGTACAGACACAAAGACAGGTTTTTTCAAGTTAATGCAGTATTTTGACACACGTTTCCTACAGGCACTGGCGATCCCATTCCTTATAAAATCCCAGGGATTTCCCAAACTGGAGAATGAGGGTGAGAATGAAAAGCTGAATTCTGTACTCACCCAGGAAAAACACAGGGAGATGGAAAAAATGATCAGCAACATTCTGGGAATCCACTATTCCATCAGGGACAGGGAATGAGAGATCCTGAGGAGGGGGAACAACTAGCGTTTATAGACTGGAAGAGAAAATTAAACAAAACTCAGCAAGTTTATCGAGCCTCCATTTTATTGTTGACATCGAAACGTACTAATTTCCGGATTTCAAGCTGCAAAACGAGAGGGTGGCGGATTGGTTGTCACCATAAAAGTGCCCAATGAAAGGGATAAGCAGTCTGTTACCAGGAAGATTAACCACAGGAAGATCATGTAAAATATAAATAAACAGTGTAATCTTCCGGTTAGGGAAGGGGTAAAGGATGCTGATCGGGAGAGAGAGAGAGGAAATTGCAGATTTTTGTCTGCAGATAAACTTTCTCAATGAAATTCCTGGACCTTAAAATCGGGCGGCCTTTCCTATTGAAGGTATCAGGTTGCCGGTCAGCACCTTATTGAAAAACTCAAATTACTGGAATAAAGTTGAAACAAAGCGTTCCTGCTGAATTCAGATCGCCCCAATTTACTGACTGCGTTTAGCAGGTGTATACCCATCTACAAAAATCCATGAAGACCAGTATGAATCCAGAAGGTGGTTCCGACCTGGTCAGCTCTGAGTTTGTACTGGAGCGAACCTCAAACTGAATTATTCTGTTGGTCTGAAATCTGGCACCAGCTTGTACAGAAAATCCAGAGCGTTATGTTCCTGTTCTCATTTGTCGTTTATTTAAAGACAGCCCCTGGACCCCCACCCTCACCCTCAACCCCCGACCCCACCCACCCTCACAGCTCCATCTATCCGCTCACTCGTTCCTGCCCCCCTGTCATCATCATAACTATTACCTTTTACTCGCTACGACCAATTCTGAAGAGGAGTCAGACCGGAACCGAAACGTTAACTGTTTTCTCTCCACAGACCTGCTGAGTTTCTCTACCATTTTCTGTTCTTGTTTCGCTTTAGATATTTCTGCCCTGAATTTACATGCATAGATTGATAGAGGTTTGGTCATTTTAGAGAAGTTGGATTTGTGGGTCAGAAATCCGCAATGCCACATGCCTGGTTTGGAGCCCCATGATGAGGGAAAGAGACAATGTCGCATATACCCTGGAGCTCCATTTTGATGGAGGGGGCCACTCCTTTTTCAGAAGGCAGTGCCTTCATGGCCGGAGAGATTAATAGAATCCCTACAGTATAGAAGCAGGCTGTTCAGCCCATCGAGTCTACACTCACCAAAGAACATCCCACCCCTGCATTTCCCATGGCCAATCCCAACCCGCCTGCCTATCCGTGAACATTAACAGCAATTTGGCATAACCTGCGCATCTCTGGACCGTGGGAGGACACTGGAGCAAACCCACACAGACATGGGGAGAATGTGCAGACTCCACACAGTCAGTGACCTGAAGCTGGATTTGAACCCTGATGCCCGACACTGTGAGGCAGCAGTGCTAACCACTGAGCCACCATGTTGCCCTTCCTGGGAAGGCTCTGAAATGTGCAACAATGTATTGTGTCTATCCTGTGCTGCCTTTTGCAACCACGTCCTAGTGCTGCTGCACTTGGTTCCAGATGGCAGCTTCAAGCTGAGGTGCTTCATGTCACTGTCCACTTGCATCTCCAACCTCTATCAGTATTCAGTGTGTGTCCAGACCTGTCATTTCCAACCTGTCGTGTGTGGAACTGGGTGTTCAAACCTGGGTTCGAGGTAAAGCCTGTCCCTGCGTGCACCTTGTTTTGGGGCTGGTTACATGTTCGGTCAACGAAATGTTTCAGGGATTTGTAAGAATGTGCCGATGAAGAAACAGGAAAAGGTTAATAACTAGATTTCTTCAGCTTCGAGCCACCAAGAATATTGAAGTATTCAGCTTCAGTGGGGTAGTGTGCTGGAAATCAAAAATAGAAACAAAACTAGCTGGAGAAACTCAGCAGGTTTGGCTGCATCTGTGGAGAGAGAAACCGAGTTAACTTTTCGGGTACAGTGACCCTTCTTCAGAACTGAGTGTAGCGAGGAGACATTTTGTACATATTCTGAAGTTGGAGTGGGGGAAGGTGTTAACGAGAGGCGGAGATAGAGCCCAGAGAGAGAGAGAGAACAGCAATAGGACACACAAAGGAATAGGCAATGGTCAGTCTGGGAGAATGAATAGCTGCTAATGGGGACTATTAGCTGACAATGGTTTGTTTGTGGTAGCAGCCCATGTGATGTCAAGGCCTGGGGGTAGGGAGGTTCTGAGGAAGGGTCACCGGACCCGAAACGTTAACTCTGTTTTCTCCTTCACAGATGCTGCCAGACGTGCTGAGCTTTTCCAGCAACTTTGTTTTTGTTCCTGGGGGTACGGATTGGGACATGGGAGAAAGTGCTCAGGCCCTAAAATTATTGAACTCCGTACTAGGTCCTGAATGCTGCAGGATCTCCAAGTGGAAAATGAGGTGCTGTTCTTCCAACTTGCACTGACCTTCACTGGAGCACCGCAGCAAGCCTGAGACAGAGATATTGGCCAGAGAACACAGTGGTGTGTTGAAGTGGCAGGCAACTGGAAACTCAGGGTCATGTAAGTGTTCTGCAAAACAATCACCTGGTCTGCGTTTTGTAGAATGTAGAAATCAAGCTATTTCTTCTTGGAGTCATCACTGAAGTTAAAAATTTTAAAAAGTTTGCAAAACACCCTAATTGACTGAAGTTTAGACCCAAGGTCTCAGAAAGCATGGCCATGTTCCTGTACTGAATAGGTATTCCTATTTATTATAATTAAATAAAGTCTAGCTCGAGATAACAATTATGAGCCATTGGCATTTAACTGTTTGTTAAAACTCTTACAAAACTTCTCCTGTGTACTCTTGTACACAAAAACACATGGGTGTTAAAGTAGGAGGGGAAAAACCAAGAAGGCAGATCAATGGTATCTGTCCACAGGGTTCATTGAGATAATCCTTTTGGCTTGTCAGGACTTGCTATTCATCAATCTTCCTCTTCTCCAGGTAGTTTTACTCATTTGTAAGAGACACAGAGTGACTGGTTCACAACTTATAAAGTCTCTGACATATTGGTTAAAGAAAAAAGTTGCAACAATTTGGTCAGGGGAACGTAAATTGACTTTCATGTTTTAAGTGTTTTTTGTTATTATTGCAGAGACATTAGTAGCACCATCTTCTCCAGAGATCCAAAGGCTTCTGACCGATTCTTCACACCCACAAGTTGTTCAGTTACCTATGAGCCAATCACACAATTGTTGGCAGGACAAAGGCCTTTGTCATCAAAGACTGGTCACCACAGGCCAATCAGCTACTTACAATGAGTGTCAGTAACTTGCTTTTAAATATTGCAGTTAGCTTTTCCACAATCCTTGGTTTTTAAAATAGTCCTTTGGCTGGTGGGGTTGGCGATGGTCTCGTGGTATCATTGCTGGACTGACAGCAGAGGGGGTGTCCTGAACCAAGACCCAGCCAAAATCCAGCAGCAGGAAGAAAAGCCAAAGAGATCATTAATAAAAAAGCAACTGGATTAAACATCAAAGCTTTTGCTGTAATATTTTGTTGTTTAAGCAGAGATCCAAGATGGCACTGGAGAGTGGCAACTCTTTGTGAATGCACGCAAAATAATACTTTCCACTGTATGTTTGTACATGTGACAATAAATCTAATCTAATCCAGTCTGTTAATCCAGAGATTCAGGTAATGTTCTAAAACAGTCCTTTTTTTCGATTTCACTCCTCATTCAAACAGTGGAGAAAAGTGAGAAGATTTTGCCCTTTACAGAAGGGCAACTGATCTTCAGAGAAAGTGCTTTGACCTTTGCCCTTTTCATGGTGTATTAATAAGGAACTTGCAATGTTATTGATTGTTTGGCATTGTGGTAGTGTCCCTACCTCTTGGCTAGAATCTCTAGGTTCAAGTCCCACTCTGGAATGTTCAGCAAATGGAACCCAATAGAAAGTGGTCAGAACATTAAGCCAATTTGACTCAAGCCTTATCCCGCCCACAACAGCATGACCATTCAGCAACATGACTCTCCACATTATAGGCTTCAGCAACTTCTTATCCAGCCCCATATTTTGCTCTGAATCCGTGCAACTCTGATTTGCTGGATTCTGTTTGCCATGTCAATTTCAGAAGCCGGTGCACATCAGAATCACTTGTGAATTTCATATATAAACATAGAAAAAGAATGTCCCCCTGTCTGCCTCATGAGAATCTCATCCTGCTGCTTAACAAACCTTGTCCCTGAGATTGCTGTGAAAGCCAATTAGGGGAGAGGGTGGAGTGTATGTGACTGTTCCCCTCCACAGACCTCACTCACAGTTTGATTTCTTGTTGGGTCCTTTCATCACAGGAACCTTTGTGAAGCTCCCTGCAGGTTTCAGGCTTTCTACTCAGATATGTCCTGAGTGCAATCAAGTCTTAGTATCCCCAAAAGGCCAAGACCAAACAAGCACCACAATTTGAGGGAGGCTAAGATAGAAACTGCCAAAGTGAATAAGGTCAAGAGAGAGAGCCCAGAGGAAATAAAGAAGGTACAAAGGGACACACCCAGTAAAAAGGAGTTTCTGCCTGGGTACCAGGGACTGGCAGGGTGTGCCTGGGTTTAATCCACTTCAGAAAGATTCTGCAAAGGTGCAGGAAGCTACACAATGTTCAGTGGCTGTGTAAGGAGCAGTGTGCTCCAAATAGGTTTGGAAAAGCCAGATGAAACTTTTAGAAATTAAAAGGGCTGAAGTCACACCGAGAAATGGAGGAAGGATCGATAGAAACTAAAGACTAAAGGGAGTAAGTCTGAAATTGAACTGGCAGTCCCCTTCAGAGGTGAGTTACTCGGGAGTCTGAAGGATTTCCACACTGATAGGCAGATGGTGAGTGGGATGCCTCACCCAGTTAAAAATTCAAAACCAGTCAGAGCTTAGAATCATTAAAGTTTGGAAAGAGGCCATTTGGCCCATCAAGTCAGCATTAACCCTCTGAAGAGCAAATGACCTAGACCCACTCCCTGTAACCCTTTATTTCCCATGGGTAATCCACCTAGCCTGAACATCCCTGGACACAACAGGGCAATTTACCTTGGCCCGTCCACCTAGTCTGCACATCTTTGGACTGAGGGAGCCACTGTTTCAATTTGGCAGGCAAGATATTTTCCTGGCTTGACAGCAGCATCCTGTTTGTGGAGAATTCCATTTGTGTCGTAAC